GAGGGAGATCGAGTCGTCGGACAGCAGAGCCACGAATACTTTATTGTAAATCCACAAGCAATAAACCTAATCCACATATTCTAAATCTAACCTAACTCTGCGTTCTTCTTTGGTCTCTGTAAATTACAATAAATTTGGTGGGACGAACACACAAACTCAACTGAGCTAGCCGCACGTTTACGTAGCGAGCGGAGACATAAAAAGCAGTTCGTTACATCTGGCGCCCAAGCGTGATTCTGAGACCAAAGAGACCAGAATAGGTATAGAATGGGGAAGTCCTGGTTGTACAACCTTAAAAAGGACGATTTCCCGGCGATCGCAAGCGCCTTAGGCATCGAGCTAGAGGGCCTTGTAGAGGAAATGAGGCGGACACTGGCCGAATTCATCGACCACTCCGAACATGATCATGAAGCGCTGGCAATTCTGGCGGCCCTGGAAAGGGATTACGCCAAATACCGGTCGGTCGGCCTGAAAGTCACCGGAGCCGAGGGCCTGGTGCGCAGCCTGGACGTGAGCAGCATGCAGAACGCCGGCAGGAGCAGCAGCCGCGACCGACGGGAAAACAGCAGGGAGAGAAAGAGCGTCAACCGCGAACAACGCGAGGAAAATGGCAGACCAGGACAGGATTACGCCAAAGTCGCAAAACAAGTCAGGGAGTGGAGCTTCCGTTACGACGGGAATGAGAAGCCCCTGGCATTCCTCGAACAAGTGGAGTGGTCGGCCATGACGTACGGGCTGGACATCAACCAAATTCCGAGGGCGATGCCGGAGCTCCTTCAGGGCAAAGCGCTAAAATGGTTCATCGCTAATAACAGGTTCTGGGAGACCTGGGGCGGATTTAGCCAGAGCTTCCAGGAGTTCTTCTTGCCCAGGGGATTCATGAGCAAACTCGCAGATCAGGTCAGGCAGAGGAAGCAGAACTACGGTGAAAGCTTCAAAGACTACATGGTAGACATGCAGACACTGATGCGACCCCTGGGTATGAACAAGAACGAGATCTTGGAGCGGGTTAAAGAAAATAGCACCCCAGCATTACGGCTGTTTATACGCCCCTACAGGTGCCAGAACCTAGATACCCTGATGGCCTTAGCGGACGAATTTGAGGAGCTCGACCAGCAGAGGGAGCGGTTCGAGCAGGAGAACATCCCGAAAGCCCGATACCATGCGCCGGCCATGAGGAGGGAACCAGTATGAACGCGCAGGCGCTGTCAAGAGGAGCCAAACGAGCGCAACGCACGGCCGGGATACATAAATAATCCATCCCAGGCATGCCGGAAATGCGGAAGCCAAGACCACTGGGCGAAAGAATGCCGCAACAGAAGAATCGCATTCTGTTGGAGATGCGGGAAGATAGGCGTCGTAAACGGAGAATGCTGCGCACGAGCGGGAAACGCCAAGCGACCTCAGCCACCGAGGGGCGGCCAGGGATCGCAAGGTGCTGCCTCTCGAAATTAATGGGCGACCTGAAGGCAGAAGAGATGCAGCTGTCCGCCACAGTGCTCATAAACAAACGGAAAGTGAAGGCCACGGTGGACACCGGCGCCACGGCAAGCTTTATAAGCGAAGAGTTGGCGGACAGGCTGCAGGCCGCCGGTAAGGTCGTACCAACGAAAAGGCAGGTGCGCATGGCAGACGGAAGATGCGGGAGCATCCAATCACAGCTGGAGATAGTGGTTGGTCTCGGGACGAGGAAGGTGTTGATGCAATTATTAATCCTCCCAAGAGTGATGGACGCCCTAGTTTTGGGCTGGGATTTCCTCTCAAAAATAGGAGCGGAGGTAAAATGCGCAGGACTCGAGGTGGCGATACCAGCAAGGAAGCGCAGACTAGGAATGCTGGAAGAAAGACTGTCGGTGGCAGTGGTAGAAACACCAGAACAGTTTTCGGAAAAGGACATCGCCAAATTCCTGAAGGAGGAGCTGAAAGCTCTAGAAGAGTCAAGCGGAGCATCAAACATAGCCGTCCACAAGATCACGATGAAGGACGACCAGCCAGTGAAGCAGCGGTACTACCCAAAAAACCCCAAAATGCAAGGGGAAATAAATGAAAAGGTAGACGAGCTGCTGAAAAAGGATGCATCGAGCCGTCAAGAAGCCCGTACAGCTCTCCAATCGTCATGGTAAAGAAGAAGACGGGAAAATGGAGGCTGTGCGTAGATTTCCGACAAATCAACGCAAAGTCGGTAAAGGATGCGTACCCGATGCCTATGATCAATTACATCCTGGATCAGTTAAGGGAGGCACGATACATCAGCAGCCTGGACTTGAAGGATGGATACTGGCAGATACCGCTGGAAGAGAAGCGCAGGCAGTATACCGCGTTCACCGTCCCAGGAAAAGGACTGTTCCAATGGAAGGTGATGCCATTCGGGCTGCACTCAGCGTCGGCAACGTTCCAAAGGGCGCTCGATCAGGTCATAGGGCCTGAGATGATGCCGCACGCCTTTGAGTACCAAGACGATATTATCGTCATCGGACGGACGCTGGAGGAGCATAAAAGAAACCTGAGGGAAGTGTTCCGAAGACTGCGAGCAGCGAACCTAAAGGTAAATGTGGAGAAGTGCAAGTTCTTCAGAAAGGAGCTGCAGTACTTGGGACATCGCATCACCGACCAAGGAATTGGAACTGATCCGGAGAAGGTGGCGGCGATAGCGTTGCTGGAACCCCCAGCCAACGTCAAGGAGCTGAGGCAATACCTGGGAGTGGCATCATGGTACCGACGTTTTGTACCCGACTTCGCCGCACTAGTCCAGCCGATTAATGCCCTACTCCGAAAGAAGGTGAAATGGGAGTGGACCGACGACCACCAGAAGGCATTTGAGGCGGTCAAGGCCAGACTGGTCGCAGACCCAATCCTGGCATGCCCAGACTTCACGAAGACGTTCATCCTGCAAACAGACGCCAGCGACTACGGGCTTGGCGCCATACTCACGCAGCATTCAGATCAAGGCGAGAGAGTAATCTCGTATTCAAGTCGCTCCCTAAATGGAGCGGAAAGGAATTACTCCGCAACGGAAAAGGAATGCTTGGCGATTGTATGGGCCATAAGGAAGTTGCGACCATACCTGGAGGGATACCACTTCAAGGTGATCACGGATCATATGGCACTGAAGTGGCTCAACAGCATAGAGAGCCCGTCGGGAAGGATTGCGAGATGGGCGTTGGAACTCCAGCAGTATGATTTCGAAATATCCTACCGGAAAGACCAGCTCAATGTCGTGGCAGACGCCCTGACGAGCCAGCAAAATGCCACAGAGCTAAGACGACAAAGACAGGCCCGAAGACTGCGGAACGCGACTGGATAGCGGAAATGAGAAGCAAGGTGGCGCAGAACCCGCAGAAATTCACGGATTACAGGCTGGAGGGCGATCCAATGTATCGCCACATACCCCACAGGGCGGGGAACGAGGACGTGGTCGCGTGGAAGCTATGCGTACCCAGAGGATCAAGACAGAGGGTGATAGCGGAAAACCACGACGCGCCAACAGCCGGTCACTTGGGCAGCAGGAAAACGATCGCAAGAGTGGCTGCGAGGTACCACTGGCCGGGCATGCATAGGGACGTCAGAGCCTACGTACGTAGCTGTGAGAGCTGCATGAAGTACAAGCCGAACCAGCTGCAGGCGGCAGGCAAAATGTTGACGCAGATTCCCGAGGAGCCGTGGGCGACAGTGTGTGCCGATTTTGTCGGGCCACTGCCGCGGTCAAAACACGGGAATGCAATGCTGCTCGTGCTAGTGGACCGATTCTCGAAGTGGACCGAGTTGGTGCCGATGCGGAAGGCGACCACAGAATCGCTGCAAAAGGCGATAAGGGAGAAAATCGTCTCGAGGTATGGCGTCCCGAAAATCCTGATCACGGATAACGGGGTGCAGTTTACCAGTAGGTCCTTCAAAAAATTCCTCGAAGAGTTGGGGGTGCGACACCAGTTTACGGCGCCGTATACACCCCAGGAAAATCCAACAGAAAGGGCAAATAGGACCGTAAAGACGATGATCGCCCAGTTTGCAGGGGCCGACCAAAGGACGTGGGACGAAAAATGGCCAGAGTTACAGCTGGCCGTCAATACCAGTGTGGCGGAGTCCACTGGGTACTCGCCAGCATTCGTCACCCAAGGTCGAGAACCCCGGCTCCCGAAGACTCTATATGATGAACACACGATCGGGACCGGCAAAGCCACGGTCCAACGCCAACGGAAAACGCACAAAAATTATCCGAAATTTTTTGAACTAGTCAGGCGTAACATGGAGAAGGCAGCGCAGGATCAGGCAAGGCATTACAACCTGCGGAGGAGGCCATGGACGCCAAAGATCGGTGATAAGGTCTGGGCCAAGGAGCACCACCTGTCCAAAGCGGTGGACGGCTTCGCGGCAAAGTTGGCCCCCAAATATGACGGGCCATTTACGATTGTTGATTTTGTTTCCCCGGTGATATGCAATTTGCGGCACTGCATGAGTGGCAAGGAAAAAAGGTCTCACATTAGTGAGTTAAAACCTGGCTCTGAGGGGAAACAATGAGTAACGGCCGTCATTGCGGGGGCACACTGTACGGGTGTTTCGTAAGAAAGGGAGAGGACGATACGGAGTATCGATGCAGTGCCTCCCACACACACGTACATGGAGCGCGAGCGCCAGGAGCGCGAGAAGCGGGTCAGTGGAGGTTACATAAGGGGCGATCACCGTTACCGGGTCACCAACACAAGAGCAAGAGAAAAGCTTTCACCGGTAACGGGACCCCGGACGAAGAAAGGTGGGAGAGGACGAAAACCGAGGTATCGTCGGAGGCGACGGATAGAGGTTCGGTCTTTCCAACCTTTTTCGCCAAGATGTCCGGACGTGCTAACCACCGCCAGCTACAGCAGCATCAGCCGCAGCAGCATCAGCAGCAGCCGCAGCAGCATCAGCAGCAGCCGCAGCAGCAGCATCAGCAGCAGCCGAAGCAACAACAACAGCAGCCGCACCAGCAACAACGGCGGCAGCGACAGCAGCAGCCGCAGCAGCAGATGCGCAAGCGCAAGGTCGGCGCGGAAGGCCGCGGCCGACGGCAACAGCCAGGGGCGAAATGGAGGCGTCGGCGCTCGTCGTCGGCACTCCAGCTACTGGCGTCGCCGTTAGTGTCGCGGTCCCCGTCGCCGTTAGTGTCGCGGTCCCCGTCGCCGGCCTGGCGCGAGGTGTCGGAGAGGGAGATGTCCTTCGACGAGGAGGTCGACGGCGGCCCCACCGGCGAGATGGAGACGGTGGAGTTGTCGTCGACGGAAGACGAAAGCGACGGAGGTGAGACGGTGACCCCCGTGGTCTCCTCTGATGAGGAGGGCACCCGGTGGGCCAACCAGGCCCGGAGGGGTTACCGTCAGGTAAGGCGGGTCGTGGATGACGAAGGGTATATCCCGTTCGGGTCGGCGGCCTCGACGGAGAGGCCGGAGAATGAGGAGGTCATCGAGGCCCGCCGACGAGCGACGATCGACAGGTTGGTGGAGCGGCAGGTGGAGTGGATGGCTGCCGTGAGGGAATGGAGGAGAAGACTGCAGCAAGCGGAGGACGAGGAGGCCGCGTTGTGGACACCGGCAGCGCCCTCGCAGCCGCCGTTGCCACCCACATCGCCACCGAGGACGCCGCCACCACCACCGCCGCCACCAAGGACACCAACACCACCACCTCCGCCGCCACCAAGGACACCACCGCCGCCGTCGATGAAAGGGACACGGCCGAGGACGCCAACACCACCGCCGCCGAGGAGGCAGACACCGCCACCAGCACCACCGCCGAGGAAGAGGACGCCGCCAAGGACGCCCACGCCGCCGAGGAGGCCGACGCCACCGTCGCAGCCACCGCTGCCGCTCGAGTCGCCGCCGAGGACGCTGCCGCTCGAGTCGCCGCCGCCACCACCGCCGCCACGTCCACGGCTGCAGAGGCAGTCATCGTGCCCGGTGGCAGCACCGCCAAGACGACCGATCCTGATGCGGGGATTCTCCCAGGAGGCAACCTGGGCAGAGGTCCCCGAAGACACGTGGCCGGACACGGTGCGCGCGGAGGCGGAGCGGCAGCGCCGTCGAGGGAGGACCCAGCGGTGGGCGAGATTGATGGGTGTGGAGGGGGTCCGCTACCGGGTAAAGGTAGCGGGCGGGGCTGTGCGGGTGTACAAGGCCTTTAAATAAAAAGAAACAAATCAAATCAAAATATAAATCACATAAAAAAATATATAAATAATAGTAATCCAGCGGCGGCTGCATCAGGTCCAGCGAAAACAGGTGGAGGCGGGCGATCCGCAGATAAGCAAGCGGGCTGGAACCAAAAGGAGTAGAGGTTAGGCGTGTACGCAAAAGGTACGGAAAAAAAACTCACCTGTGGCAATGCCCTCACGGCCAGCCTGTGGTATGCCACAGAACGAGGAGCCGCGGGGTAGCGGGGAAGGAGTGGTCGTCAGTCGGAGGGCGGTCCAGCAACATACACGGAGGGGGTTCGACGCGAAGCGTGAGTCCCCTGGAGCCAGCCGGAGTCTCTGGAGAGCAGACGGTGAGTTGTTACACGAGTTAGCAAAAGATATTTAAACTCAAAACTTACCTGGGAGTCCACGGTCAAATTGGACGGCCAGCCAGAGTGGGGAGCCGCGGCGAGGGGGAGGGGAAAGGGGTGGATCGAAGGCCGGGCATATTGGCCTGCCGGGACGCGCTAGGTCAGGGTCGGCGCCCCGGCGCATACATCGTTGGAAGGATTCCGCGGCTCAACCCGGCTTGGAGTGGCCTAAAAAAAAAGGAACATTTAAGTGGTAAAAATTAAGAAAATAATATCAAAACACTTACCATAACAAAACCACGAGGCCGGCGAAAAATTGGGAATGGGGTCGCCACGATAACGGCGGTCGATCGATAGTGCGATCGATGGGAGCTAAAAAAAATACTGGAAACATCGCTGGCCGGTCACACTAAATATGACGGCACCCTGAGGAGTGGCAACGCCACAATCGATCGGTAAGAGTTATCGATTGTGCGCGGGGAAATTCTGCGCGGGAGACTTTTTCAAATTTGAAACGAGGATCGGAAGGAGTCGCGCGCTGGGAGTTTCCGACAGCCAAGATGCCCTAGTCAAGAAGCCCAACGACGGGATGTCTACATAAGCTGAGACTTAGGTGCTGAGATTTGAGGAGCTCTCAGCCGTGGCAGGAGGATGTCGACGAAGGAGTGGCAACGGCCACAAGGATCAAGGAAGGATGTGCGCGCAAGGAGCCATGGGGGTCGAGACGCCGAAGTCGAGATGCTTAACGACCAGGTAGGGTTTACTAGGCTGAGACTGTCCGGCTGAGATCCAGAGGGCCCTTGGCCGCACTCAGGAGTGGAGGTCGACGTGGGATGGATGCGATTTGAGAACGTTTCCCCAGGACATTCCGGAGCCCGAAGCTTTTAAAAAGTTTCCGAAGGAAGGGGGAAATGTAAGGGTTTGTAAAACTCCTTACAAGTTTGAGTGCAGGAGAGCCGCGTAGCAACAGCGGGATGCGCTGCGTGCAGAAGAAAAGGGAAATAACGGCTCAAAGGACTTTGGACTCAATGCTGCGGTGAGTCTGCAAACTTTGGACCCAATAACGGTGAGTCTGCGGACTTCGGACCCGCCCAAAGAGGAGAGACCGTGAACTAACGGTACCGTTCTGGACTTTGTACCCGTTATAACGGTGAGGTTCTGGACTTTGTACCCGTTATAACGGTGAAGTTGGCGGACTTTGGACCAGCACAAAGAGGAGAGACCGTGAACTAACGGGACTTGTGCTGCCCTTTGGACCCGATCACGCCACTTGTCCTGCACTTTGGACCCGATCACGCCACTTGTCATGCACTTTGGACCCAGTCACGCCACCGATGGAGGGAAATAGCGGGACATGGATGGCGTATAAAAGGAGGACGCGTGCAGGCAGTCGGGACAGTCAAGTGAAAGCCGTGCAAGAGACCGTACCAACGCGAGTGAAAGCCCAAGTGAACAACAAGTGCCAGGATACCAGGAATCAAGATCGCCGAGTCGAGAAGCCCAACGACGGTCACGTCTACATAAGCTGAGACTGCCAAGCTGAGATCCCGAGGGTACAAGGTAAGTTGTAGGGTGCGTCTACGAGTCTCGAAAACGACGGTATTGGTGGAGTCCGAGTAAGTGGATGTTGTGCGAAAGGTACCCAGCGTCGGTTCGCATGAGATATTGTGAACCTGCTGAGGGCCAGCTGACGAAGATCCAGTGGATGTTGTGCGAAAGGTACCCGGCGTCGGTTTCTCATGAAAGATTGAGGACCTGCTGAGGGCCAGCTGACGAAAATCCGAGGGAGTTGTGCGAAAGGTGCCCGGAGTCGGTCCACACGAGAGTGAGGACCTGCCGAGGCCCAGCCGACGAAATCCCGACCGACTTCAGGGTAGAGCGTGGAGTGTTGACTGCAGCAGCGCTGCTTAGCCCTCCAGTAAGGTTTTCTGCTCAATATCCGCCAAGTTGTGAGAGACTCGTAGCGAGCCTAGTACGCGACCGGTGCCCGAAAGACTCGGCAAGGCAGAGGACGCACGACAGGCGTGCCGCCGCAGGAGTCGACGCGGCAGCCATTACCGGCGTCAACGAGGGAGATCGAGTCGTCGGACAGCAGAGCCACGAATACTTTATTGTAAATCCACAAGCAATAAACCTAATCCACAAATTCTAAATCTGACATAACACTGCGTTCTTCTTTGGTCTCGGGGTCACGCAACAATAAATTTGGTGGGACGAACACACAAACTCAACTGAGCTAGCCGCACGTTTACGTAGCGAGCGGAGACATAAAAAGCAGTTCGTTACAATATACTGTTAATAATAATAGTTGTCATAATGTGCGCAAATTTTTTTTACAAAATATACAAGTTGCACCATAAAAAAGAAGTATTTAAGCAGAGCAAACGATCTAGATAAGATCTAAAAAGGGCTACAGTGTTAAATTCCATATCAAGTCATTGAGTGATTGATTGTCTATTCTCAAAATATATATATCCAAGAGAGTATTCAGAAAGTTTACTTTTCGGACGTTCTGTTCACCTAATAATAATCTTTAAACAAATAAAAAATCATTTTTCTAAAAACAAAAAAAAAAAAAAAATAATGGAATTTAATACTATAGAATTAGATAGTTATCTCGAGGAAATAATTATTAAAGATCCGGAATTTAGAATCCATGCATTAACCGTTCTTCATTGTCATAAAACCTTTATTCCCATTTTTGAATTCGAAAATTACTATATGGAAAAGTACAACTTGGAATTCAGCCCTTTAGTTACTATCAATAAAAAAATAAAGGGTTTAGTCCTAAATACTTTGCCATACGTCTCAGTAAAGGAAGTCGTAGATTACCATCCTCTACTCGGTGAAACCACCATCCTTATGGTTAAATTACACAGATAAGATTACTATGGAATGGAACGATTTGTATGCGAAATTGAATAAAATAAAAAATGAATTCGATAAATCCTACAAATCTCTTTCTCAAAATAGACCAATTCAAGGGAGCACTATTAAAAAACATACAGGAATATTAGTAAACTGCTTTAACGAGGCGCGTATATTAATACATGGGCAGCGAGAAAAAATTAAATAACGATCATTGGTCAAAAGTGTCAAAATTTTTGAAGAGACTCAGAGAAAATTTAATATCAATAAAAGAAAAATTCAATTTAAATATATTTAAATATTTAACGCAAAAATAAAGGATGAAGATTTAAATAATCTCACTATCCCAGCTGTTTTATTATCAAACATAGATAACACAACAGACTCCGATTCAGACTCAAGCGCAGACATAAGTGAAAACAACGACTTCAAAATGGCACAAACAAATATTGACTTCATTAACACTGCATCAAAGCTTGTACCAGTTTTCGATGGTAAAGCAGAAAATTTAACTAGTTTCATTGATGCATTAAATATAATAGACTCAATAAAAGGCGAACACGAAAACCTAGCTGTCTCTATAATAAAGACAAAGCTAAAGGGTGTAGCCAGAAATCTTATCGGAAACGAAAGAACAATAAATGAAGTAATTGCCAAATTAAAAAGTAACGTCAAGGGCGAGACTGTAGAAGTATTGTCAGCAAAGCTGATGAATCTACAGCAACGCAATAAAACTGCCAATCAATATACATCAGAGGTTGTGCAGATGACGAAGGCTTTAGAAAGTGCGTACATAACAGACGGCTTAACACTAGAGCTGGCCAGAAGTTATTCCACACAGCAAGCAGTAAAAGCAATGACCAAAAACTGCACGATTGATAAGGTCAAACTTATAATGCAAGCCGGCAATTTCAACACTATGAATGACGCCGTTTCAAAATTCGTAAACAGTTGCACAGAAGCAACTGGACAACCAAACTCGGTCCTGTTCTATAATAACTATACACAGCGCGGCGGATACCGCGGACGCGGAAATTATAGAGGTAATTTCCGTGGTCGTAGTAACAATTATAGTTACTACAACAATAATAATAATCGCGGCAACTACAGAGGAAACTCAAGGGGCCGTGGCAACTCGAACAGAGGCTACAATAACAACAATACAAATAATGTAAGAGTAGCCAATGAGAGTTCGGGAAACTCTCAAGCCCCTTTAAATACTCAACAGTAGAAAATGTAACAGTTCATACTATTAATCTCAGCCAAAATATATTTGTCTCATTCATCCATGTGGCTACTGGAAAAGAACTTGTCTTTTTGGTAGGCACAGGTGCCGAAATCTCTATAGTAAAAGAAAATTCCGATATATTTCAAAACATACAATATAATAACATAATAGATATACGGGGAATAAGCCAAGAGATTACTAAATCCAAAGGCTTAACATCAATTGAAATACAGACTACGAAATACATAATTCCACACGATTTTCATATCGTAGACTTACACCTAGCCGTCCCTTGTGATGGCATATTAGGAATTGACTTCATTAAAAAATACAACTGTCAACTAGACTTTCAGCCATCTGAGGATTGGCTTATAATAAGACCAAATAATTTGAAATTTCCAATTTACGTTTCAATAGCATACAGTTCTGGCAATAACTCATTTCTTTTGCCAGCAAGATCACAAGTCATTAGAAAAATAAAATAAAATTCAAAAGAGAACAGTGTATTAATTCTAACTCAAGAAATTGAGCAAGGAATTTATGTAG